TATAAACGACAATAACACAATGAAAAGACGGTTTGTTTGTTCTGAACGTATTGAACTGAAGTACTATTTAATGGGGCGGAGGAACAAGGGGCGGAGACCAAGTCAGACTTACGTCGAGTTACGCGGACCACTGATTTGTCCGAAGCGTCATGACACACCGACACCGAAAAGAGATAAGTAAGCGCTGGGAGAAGTCGCCTTCAACAGGACGAGATTTTTCGGAAACGGCAAATACAAACAGTCCTCGGAAATAGAAGAATAATAATAAAAAAAAAAAAAAAAAAAAAAAAAAAAAAAAGAAAAACCGTTTTTAGGGGGGCGGTCCGGAATCGTGTAGCGTTTTGTTGAGATGGTCGACCTTTTCACTCAGATATTTCAGTCTTGGTAATAAGGATGCTACTGATACAATTGTGTTAGACAACACAAATCTTTTAATTTGAAGCAGTTTACAACGAATGTACCGGAAAACACAAGACGAAACACGTGAGTGTCTGGAACGAAGTTCGCTCGTAAAAAGTCTTCAGACGAAGACAAGCTTTGTAGGACTTTCTGGTCACCCTCCTGTTTCGCTCACCTGAGTCGACTTCAAAGTCTTCCACACGCTCGCTAAACCCAGCACGACGATGGTCTGGCGAGCACGGTGAGGATTGCGTTTATGCATGAGGTCCTATGAGCGTGGACAGTCAATGGTTGAACATTTGGCGTAATGTTCACAAACCTATATAGACACTCAAGTAGTACCTCATAAATTGACCACGTAAGAGACGTCCAGACTGTGCTGGAACTAACTTGAAAACGGGTCTCGAAACCCGGACATAAACACTCGAGCCCAGGAGTCCCTCCGGACGTTTGAGAAGTACCTCACAGACTTGTTGCTGTGGCTCCTCAGTTTCGTCCGAGAGACCGATACGAGTACGAGAAAGACACTACGAGGGCCGTAGGACTAGTGCATTAACTGACTAATAATTGATATATTATAAAAATGATAAATTATTCTACGAATTTCCACCCCATACATTAAACCTACTTGCGTCCGAGCTACATGCGCAATCTTAAACTTTTATGTGTTGGCCTCTTTAGACGGTGAAGAATGTACTACGGGGAGGAGGTTGTGTGTGTTGCGCGTGTATGGTTACTCCGCCGTGCCTCTATTCAAACACGTGTCCTAACCGCATTCCAGACTGTTCCGTCCATCCGGCAAGGTCAATAAATCGGCCCCGGCCGGAGTCTACTAATCCAGCCCGATTAAAAATGTCGTGGTGCCAAGGTGTCTACTGTAAAAAAAATTACTGTAAAGTTCTATAAGTACGATAGCCCTACAATCTCGGTAAGGTACCATTATAATTGTTTTTCACATAGAGCTCGGCCAAAGGTTTTGAATGGATGGGGGGGGGGGTGGGGGAAAAATTACATCCGCTTAGTAAATGACCTCGTGGGACAATTACACAGTGTCTTAAGACTCTACTGTACTTCAAATACTTC